AGGTGCGTAGGTCTCAATCACGAGGGCCAACTGTACCACTGGCTCTTCTCGCTGTTTTCAAGCCGACTTACGGAGACCAACTTGCAACGAAACCAAGTCGTTTTTCTTCGATCGACGTTCTCGAGATTGCTTCCACAGATTTTTGATGTTCAATCTGGATGGTCGGAGTGGAGAGGCAAGGGCCGAGGGAAGGGTGAACAAGCGGGACTTTTTCTCCGATTCCCGCCATGCCCCGAAACACCCAACCTCTTTCGAACGTCTCGAACAACGTCAGGGTGTCACGACCTGCCTTGTGATGCAGCAAACCATATATTCGGAGGGACAAGAGGTGTCCAGCTTCGGTGTTTGCGTTACGGTACATATTGCCCGCGCGGGATTTACTTCTGTTTGTCAAACCTTTCTACGCTTGGGTTCGCCCCGACTTGGCCAGAAATGAGGGGTTCCTGCGAACAAGCAAAGGAGAACGACCGCTCCCTTGTAAACGTGCGCATGTGCCGAACAAGCGCCGCCTATATCGTCGTCACGTGCACGAAACGCCCCGAGCTATGTACTGCATTAATGCCAACCGCTGCCTGGCACCCGGACTTTGCTCTACTGGGTGTCAAGACCATACCCATGGCTGCAGCGACCACGCCGTAAAAATCTTCCCAAACCTGGGCACCACTTGGAACAATGATGTTGATGGCACGGTCTACGTAGTACTTGACCCGTGCGTCCTTGGTGAAGTGTCTGCCGAACCTTGGGTCCTTCCCTACCGTTCTTCCGTTGCGTTCAGTGTTATTTTTCTAGACTCCGAGGAAGGAAAGAGTACGAACTTGGCAAAGCATGATTCCCGCAGACACCTTTCTGCACCCCCTCCATCTTACGTCTGCACCTCTGCCCATAAATACCTGATCTCTGTCTGTTTCCCTCCAAACAGCAGCCGAGCGTCCTCTTTCCTCCGGTGATGGGAACCAACCTTACTGCACGCAGTGGGTCTCAGATGACCAAGCCCCGAAAATGGTCCCCTACTTTCGCCTCACTATTGCAACTGAAGTCGGCCCTCTCCTTTACCCCACGTTCTCAATAAAAAGGGGTTGGAGGGTGAGAAATACTCAACCTGTTGTCAACTCCTGAGTCTGGTAAACCACTAGACGTCTTTCTATGCGTCGACAGTGCTCGTTTTCTGCGCTGTACCCTTAGGCACGCGAAGACTGTGATTGAACAAAAACAAATTAAGAGTGGAAGAACTATACTCCTTCTCTCGTTTAGGTGGGGGCGTACTACGCACATACTTTCCCGCGTACCCCCAATAAAAACGCTATAGAAACTCGGTTTGTTTTTTCAACGCCTTCAACAAACTTGCCGTTCTGAAAAAAAATGTGGCAGAAGTTGTGGTGTACAAATAAATGTCTGCAAAAACCTACAACTTCTAGGCTAGACTAGTCGGGTTTCTCTCGCAGCTAAGCTTACATGTAGCCCACAAACCATTCTTGATCAGGATTACGGTCGCCGCGAACAGACCAAAAACACCTCTTGTAGATGGAACGATTAGTGGAAAGCAAAGTCTTCCGTATTTGCGCAAAAAATAACTCCTCCACCGTGACTATGTTCTCAAAGCAGGTACTCTTTCCTCAAAAATACATCCACACCAAGTGTGCGCTTGCCGCGTCACAGCCTCACTCTGGAAACCCTGTCGGAGTGAATCTATTCCTTACCACTATCAACCTATTCTGCGTCATAGCCTCAACTCTGGGTGTAGCGCATCCAATCTACACCACTCTCACGCTGTTCCAGCGATGACCATCCCTTGCTTACAATACGGAGTCTTTCGCCGTACCTAACAACGTACCGGTAGCGCCGCTATTCTTCGTCATCCTTTTGGCTTAGAAATGGGCATCATTTCTTGCTGATCAGTTATTAAGTCGTGTCCCTATCTGTCTGACCTATTCTTATCTACCCCCCGGCTCGCTCTACAGTAGTTAACCAGCTTTCAGTCATTTACCCTTTGTACTCCGCCAATTTCCCCCCCGCGGACTCCATATTCTTCAGAAAGCTCCTGCGGTGGATCTCCACCATACCGTGCTCGCGAATGGCGTCGCGATGGGCGGCCGTGCCGTAACCCTTGTGCCTCTCGAACCCGAAGACAGGCCAGCGCTCCCCGAACTCGATCTGTGTGCACGGAAAGGTGACGTCGGCTGTTACATACCGATGCCGGTTGAGCTTCTTAGGAAGGTGCGAAGCATCCACCTCAATCAACGTAGGGCAGGGCTCTCCGCTGCTGTGAGATCTCAAGAGTTTGGACAGAGTACAAGCTGGGAACGCCAAGGATGTGTTTCTTCGTTTTTTTGTTTTTTCGGAAATAAAGTGAGAAACCAAACGCGCGCCGTCACCCCAATCGATACAGTATGGTGACGAAGGGGGGTGTGATGAGCGAAACACCGTTGTGGTCCAGTCAGCTAAACAACTTACATGGTAAACACGAAAAGCAGGGCTAGTTAGAGCACGTCTGGTGTGCGAGAATACATGACGCGTGGTCAAATAGTCAGCTATTCAAGGCAAGAAGAAAACGCCCCCCTTTCCCCACGAATCTGTCGCCTCCTTTCATTCGTGGTACGCTCATAGCTCTCTCTCTCTCTCTCTCTCTCTCTCTCTCTCTCTCTCTCTCTCTCTCTCTCTCTCTCCAATACAGAGGATAGCAATGTTGTGCGTTCCTCCTTCGAAAAATCAAGCCAGGTCTAGTCTACCCAAAGGCCTTGTGAGTGGTGCCATGAAGTAATCCACAACAGCCGGCACAGCGCTCGATTCAACCACACGCAGCAGCGTAATACCCGTATCCGACCGTTGCTCGTACCACCAAAAGGCGGTGTTTCTTTTGTGCCTCTCCAAACTTCGGCTTCACGGCCGACGAGGGAAAGGGATGGCTGAAGCCTTCTCGCGATAAAACTGAGGCAAACACCACAGGGGGAAAGGTGAGGCAATAAAAAACAAAACAAAAAATGAAAACAGCTCCTATGTGACCTTCCTCTTGTGTGACGCCGGCTGATACGTCAGGTATTGTACATGCGCCGAAAGGCCTGTAAACCGGCGCCAGAATAGATGGGACCAAAACACACGCACACGTTTTCTGTTTTCAACCGCACTAAGACTGATGTCTTTTCATTGGTCAGCCGGTTAGCGCGGTCGATGCTAGTAATTAAGACACATACACGCACGCACCATGAGCCGATCTCGCGTGACTTTGGCGATGATGCTCGCGGCGGCGATGCAGTACTCCAGACCGTCCCCTCCGACGACGCACTCGGCTTCGACCTTCGCATCCCCCAGCCCGGGGGGCGTGAAGTTCCCGTCCACCAGCACAAACGGCTTCTTGTCGGAGGTGTTCTTCTTCTTCTTCGTGTTCGTGCTCTTGTTGGCGCTGGCTTCCACAGATTTGGAGCACACTTCAAGCACGCAGTTCTATGCAAGCATATGAACCGGGCGAAGAGGGTGTGACAGAGGGGGGGGCAGAATGCCGAGAGGTTAACAGAAGGAGGAGGGACGAGTGCGGGCGCACGGGTGGGCGAACTCTTTTTCGTTTCATGTTTTCTTGCTTATGCACAACCAATTCATCTCCTCCGCATATATGAGTCTTTCGTTTTTTACGTTGGTCGCTGGATGCGCGGCCATGAATCACTCCCTCGGGAGGTTTTACATCCTATTCGTTTTTCGTGTGTTCGCCGTGAACTACACTCTGCCGATTCCACCCGATTCCCAGTCCTACCGTAGGTGACACAAGATATCACACCTCCTGGAGCGATTTATGTATCCAAAGCGTAGACCGAGTGGCGGAGTCGAACAATGACGACGTTGCATCATTTGGTTCATACATCCTCTTTGTCGTGGAGCAATCAAGGTTGAAAGTTGGTCCAGGGGATGCGATATCTTACGCAACCTACGGTATATTGTGACCACGCCTAGGGTGGAGCGCGCGCGGGGGGGGTACTCTCATGTTTTGCATGCCTTAGCGGTTAGACCATTCACCACGCGGACGGACCAATATTACAACAGGAACGATCACCGATGGCCAATCGTTCCTTCCTACTTTGCCAAAGGTGGCTAAAAAATGGTTTCCCTAGTCTATCTGGGTGGGGCGGTCGTCAACCGCGTACGGTGCAGAGAGGACACATCAAAAGCAACAGGGATAGCGTCCAGCGACGGTTTGTGCCCGGGTTTGGTCTTTGGGGTATGGAAAAGATGTGTTTCACCAACACGCTGCAAGAAGCAAGACGGCGGAAACAAGGACACCTCACGAGAGGCTAGTCGTGGCAATGACTGAAGACTCAAAATATCCGCTCAACTTGTGTCCACGCATGAAATGTACCATTGTTTGTCGTGAGGCCACATCAACCACACACCCATGTCAATAACTACCAAAGGGACATCAGACCAAAAAATGAACACGCGAAAGACGACGGTCAGTGCTGTTCGGTGGCCTCAAGAACAGAAATAATGGGCATCCGTTGCCTCCAAACTGACCGTCATGGCCTCTTTCGTGGCCTCGAGGATGTTGATCTCATCAATTCGGCTGCTTCCGACCTCAGACGCAGCCCAGACGACGCCCGGTGTCTCCGTCAACTCCTTGAACAGGGTCTCCCGGTCGCTGTGTTGCGTGATCTGCCGCGGCAGTAAGTCAGGCAAAGAAACACAAATCCGACCGTCCATGTACGTGCTGGGAACGGTGTTTTTTGTGTGATAAGAGCAACAGCGACAGCGACGACGAGGAGAACAACGGACCCGACACTTTTCCACAGTTCGGTGACCGCAGCAGCCGCATGAACATCGTGCAGAGACTTCGTGTAAGTAGGCAGCCTACGCAGGGTGTTCTTCAATCAAGTAAACATGTTGGATATGTAGGGGGTAGCCTTCGCAGTCCTTCAATTAAGTAAACATGTTGGATAAAGTATGCAATCGGGGAAGCTAGGCTAGGGTTGTGTACCTCCTCCCTGTTCTACTTCCTCAAAAACGACATTTCTCGCCAAGGCGGTCCACTTTGTGGGTTAGGGTTGTGGGCACGCGCACCTTCTTGCTGTCCTGTATGCCGAGGATGTTCACGTCCGGGGGAATCATACACGCGGCTGCGACAACCGGCCCTGTTACGGAAGTCCACCCGAAGGTAGAGCGGGCGGCGGGGGTATCGAGAATAGAAAACTGGACGCTAAGCGCGGTAAACGTAGGTGATGCGTGGTTTGAGCAATGGGTGATTCCATCTAGGCTCTCCCTCCAGCAGTCTCGATCAAGTAAATCTCTTATGTACACTCCCCTAACCTTGTTTCAACACGCAACCCACGCCCCTCGTCACCGCTAAGCCAAGCCTATCTAGTGGGTGTTGAAAACAACGTGCGTTGGTGGGGTGAAACTCGACCAATCCCTGTGGAGGAACGCCTCGCACCCCCAAATAGCGTGTAGGGTGTATAATAAACCCTCGAAGGACCCGGGATCCCCGAGAGCCACTTATGTAGCGGGGTATTTGAAATCAAGGACAAAGGTCTGCCTGTCCGTCTGTCTCTGTCTCTGTCTCTCTTTCTGTCTGTCTCTGTCTTTGTCTCTCTCTCTCTGTCTCTCTCTCTCTCCAAGTGGCACCTGCAAACGGTCCTCTCCCTGCTTCGTCGACCCCAATCACGGCGTCGAACCCCTCAGCGAGCTTCCTCTGTGTTGTTGGGGGCGGTAAGTTCCCACAGAGAGACGAAACAGGAGTCGGCGCGGGGCGGCTGAAGATACTGTGCCAACAGCATGTTGACGAAATTCTGTGGTCGGCGCTGGTCATGTGAAAACGCCCCCCCCCTCTGAGTAACTCATGAATCTCGGTGTAGGCCTAGTGCGTTTCGACGGTCAGATCGCAAAGGGGGTTCGCACTGCTGTTTATGTTGACATGAATGCCAGAGACTCGAACGGCTCAGGTCCCTCGACTTCACGAATGTTCCCAGTGGCTACTGACCTTCGTACCAAAAGCGTCACCATCATGGTGTGCCCACCTTGGTGTGGGATTTCCACCTCTATCTCGTAGAATACTCTTTCGGGCTTAAAAACGAAACAACAGGCAAGGCACCCACTCTCACATTCTCTCTCGTCCTTCCCAGTGTACACGTCGTCTTCTTCTTGACCCCGGCAGCGGCCGTGACGCCTTTCGGCTTGGAAACCCGCTTTATTCGCCGTTTCGGGCGGGCATCAGCGCCGGAGCTCTCCGCTCCAGCAGCAAGAGGTGACGATGATTTCGCTCGTGCCGAGGCGGCAACGGCGCGTCGGTTACCGACGCCCAATGGCTCGCGGGGTGGACACGGCTGCACCCGGAAAAAAAGTGGTTCCGAAAACCAACGCACGTGCGGAAAACAGCTTGCGTTCATGTTCGTTCAGGAGCCGCCCTATTCTCATATGAAGCACGCCGACCGTTGTTAGTTGTTGATAGGTGGATGCGTTGCCACTGTCAACAAAGGCGCGTGCCACTGCCCTCTTGCCGACATACAGGTGCGGCTGCTCTGCCTACTGTTTCCTTCCTCTGCTCGCGACCGAACGAGACGGGGTAAACTCTACACTTGCTGCAGATTATGGTGATTCTTCAGTATCAGTATAGGTTGTTAAAATTCTTGCGAGTTGAGTCTACACCGAAGCCGGTAGTAGCTTTTTGCTTTTTGTGGTCCTTGCGAGATGAGTCCACGCCGAAGCCAGCTCGAGTACCGCCGGTTGTAAGGGATATGTACCACCGCATCGTCGATTGTCGAGAAAGCGAAAAAGAAGAAGTTTCTCGGCAGCCAAGAAGGGCTTTTCCATGACCGAACGATGCGTCTCCGAAAAAATATGTGATGGTATCCAGTCTCAACACCAACAGACCGCTGAGGGCGGTAGTGCCACAAACAATATCCGCAAGATCTTTCCGACGCCCCCGACGTCCGCATACACATATTTCCACGCTGCGAGACGTCCAGAATAGGGGGGTGGTATCTTATGTGACATGCAGTACAGCTGGAAAGTTGCACCGTCGCGAGGTCCTGCTATTGAGGCAACAGCTGCATATATCATGCAAACATCGCGCCATCTATGAGTACTTGGCACACCTACTTTTACTTGCACAAAGTACCAATCAAGATCTGTCGCCGGCACCGCCGGATACGCCGTTACCTGAGGACAGCAGTGATGTTCTGTCGCAGAAAAAGAAACAGCCACCGAGTTATTTTTTAAAAAAAGATGGCGACGCATGGACAACAATCACCTTCTATTGGCAACATATCAACCTATCTACTGCTATGCACCTCGATCACACTCACCCCTGCATTGAAAGCTCCGCTGCTGCCGTGCCGGCGCCTGACCTCTGCTGCCAAGCGCGGCGAGCGACGTGCGGCCGCTGTTCGTGTTTGAATAGCCATCGCAACCACCGCTGCTGTCGCACGGTACGCGTATGTGACGCGCATCTAGGGTGGATCGGCACAGACAGTATAGATCCTGCAGTTCTGTTACGGCTGAGGGAGTTATCCAAGAGCTGCTCTTGTGAGCAGACGCCACGCCGGTGCAGACGGCAGCTACACACAAGGCATAATGCGCCAGACCGCCGCAGGAATGGTTGAGAGCCTCCGCCGTATCAGGTGGCCGTATATGGATGGATCTATGGATTCTGTGTACTTCGTGTGCCCCCCCCCCCAGCCAAAACGGATCGGTTTAGGATCAGTGCCACTGCCATGTCATCATCGCGGGCAATCAGGAGACAACAGTAGTAGTCCTCCACCCTGACCTCGCTTCAGGATCCCCGTCTCCTCCCTCTATGGACATGGAGACGTCCAGACCCCGGCGCCATAGCGTGGGTACGGGGCAGAGAGGTGCGATATCTCGCCAGCATGTGGATGACGCTCTGCCGGGCTTTGGTGCTTCAAGCGACCCTCGGAGAACAGCGGGCACGACGATACAACCCCCTGAAGACCGGAGGGTGAGCGCGACGGTCAAGTGCGATGGTAGTGGTGGGACGGCGGGGGTTGTTCGTGTGTTGTGGAGGAGGTTTGCTTCTCTGTCTTCAAGCTTCAAGCAGATTCTTTAGGTTCTACACTGCTTCCGCCGTTGGCATGTTTTTGTGCGCGCCCCTCACACACATGCCCGGGGTACGAACGCCAAAACTAAAAAGTCCAGCAACTTCCACGGCGGGTGCACGGACTATTTCCCGCGCAGGCAAACGAGGCGGGAGTTGTCGTAGACCTCGCTGGTGCTGCAAGCTCTATCCAGGTAGCGGTGAAGATCCATGCCTCGAGCTATTCTCGTTTTGGGTTATTATAGAAGATCAGTGTCGTGTGCTGCACGACAGCAGTATCGTAGCTGCATTTGGTTTTTCGGCAGCAGTAAACAATAAACGGCACGAACGCAAACGCACACAACGCACACCATTGTTTGCCGCACGGGGCAGACTACTGACGCATTTTCCATGGGAGGTACTGTAGCGCGGTGAATGCTTAATAAAGGCACACACACCTTACTCAGCCAGAAAAATGCCGTAATTTGGCATTACGTGGCTGTTGTATGCATACCGGTCGGTGTCTCAAAGTCACAGGATTTCTCAGCGGGTCGATGCAATATTTCGTGCCTCTCAATATTACACGCAACCTTTCACTTTCGACGGGAACGTTTAGGGGTTCACGAATAGGTAACGACCACAGCCGGAGACAAGTCGGTATGTGCCCATTTAACACAGCACTAAGTAATGGAGAATTCCTGCTAGATGAGCCCGCAAGATTGTCATGGGCAGCGGCTGCGCTCTGTGCTATGTGATGCATCTTTGACTGTGTTTTGTTGTCTCAAACTGCTTTGGTTGGCGGAGAGAACGGCACAACCAGCTCACGTGACCAAAAGAAGAGGTATCGCCGAGCGGACACGGATCGACTGGCGAAAACACCGTCGAGTGTACAGGGGTTGGCATCGCGCTGTACAATCTGGAAGAACCCATGATGATGGACTCACTTCTTGACCATCTCTTGCGGGGTGCTGACTGTGGTTGTGATCCACCCCAAGGGGTCACTGCTTGTATGACTCTGTCCCCTGCTGTATCCTTCAATCGGGAAATATCAATATTTCACACGCATTTTCCTACAAAATGGGGATTGTGTAACACAAAATATTGTCGATACCCCTGAGAACTCAAATCCCACAACACTAGTCCGCCATGAAGATTCTCATACGCAGATACGTAAAAAATCCCGGGATTTCGACAATTGCCAGATCCCAGATTGAGAGGATCGACGATGTGGAATTCCGGAGTCCAACAGTCACCCTCCCACACCTCTCACTCGATGGGTCGCAAGACCATGGCTTGACTAATAACCGAGGCGCAAGGAGTAGACTTGGGCTATAGCAATACCCCAAAGGATAGCAGCATGGTATCAACACGAATAACAAAAGAATAAGCAAAGAAACAACGGTGTTGCTAGTATATGACAAGGAACGATAGGATAAAAGCCTGTATCGTCGAACGACAAAAACAACACTACGTGCAGCAAGGTTGACTAACACGTAAGGCACAAGGAGTAGACTTGGGGCTATAGCAATACCCCAAATGATATCATCAGCACGATATCAACACGAATATCAAAAGAGTGAGCAAAAGAAACAACGGTGTTGCTGTAACGAGGAACGATAGGATTAAGCCCGTATCGTGAGAACGATAAGAACAACACTACGTACAGCAGTCGCCAACGACACTCACTAAAACAACTTTAGTGCCTGATCCCCCGATCAGCAACACCCCTCTTGTTCTCGGTATCGACCGGCGCCTGTTGACATTGTACGGTGTCCTCACGGTCGGTCGGTGGTCGGTCGGTGTCCACGTGCCACCAGAGTCGTGGCGACCAGCATGGGAGTAGATGTACTCGTGTAGGGGACGCTCGATCGTCGGCCCATATGTTGTCATTTTTCTGCGATTTTCCTACAGATCACACCCGAATTACCAAATCCAGATGCCAATAAAAAATCCGTCATATATATATGTTGCCATGACAAGCCGCGGATACGTAAGCGTTTCCCGGTACAGTACCCAGAAAAGATGAGTTCCGGCCAACCAGACGAAGAAATCCTTGTTTCCTTTTTTCTTCTTCTTCTACACAAAAATCCGTTATCTTGGGCACATAGCTTGCTCCTCGCAGCCACGGCGGTGGTCTCACCAAGCAGTCGGGTTCTGTTCCAGGGTTCGTTCCATCTGCGTACTGCCCTTCCTTGCAGAGGAATGAGCCAGCCTTGCTGGTTTCGAGGCTGTGCCTATTCCGGCACTTCTTACGAGTCTCAACAACTTCCGATACCTCTGTATGTTGCGAGAAACCCATCCAATTTGGGCAAACTGTAAGTACGCCGTAAGTCATGCGCAACCGTCGGAGTTTTCGTATCCATGGGAGAAATCGCGCTGGGGTATATAAAAGCTCCTAAGAAAGTTCAACAACGGCATGATTTAACTCGATTTCGGAGCCTCTTTGAAATGGATAGTATACAGCCGCTGCGGGCTTAAGATTGCATGCTACCATAGGTGGCTCCCGGCCACTGTTTGAGCTGGAACGTGGCAATAAAGTCGTTACTTTTGATTGCGGTGGAGGTAGTATCGTCGAGGCGCCACTCCATTCGTACACCGTTGCACGGGTGTCACGGTGCACGTGTTGGAAAAAATGTTGTTTCTATATTGCAGTCTATCGCAACACGCATCCCCCAACCTACAACCCACCATTACCGTAGGGACTCGCATGGTACTACAGCAGTCGCGGAGGAAACAGAGGGGAACACACTAGCCGCCAAGAAGCTGGAAGACGAACTGATACCGCAAACTCATATCACGGAACAACATCGTTCCGATAGATGTTGCTCAAAGTCACGCCTCAAACCGGTCTTCCCTTTTTTTCAAGTTTTCCGACTGCAGCAGTGGTCGATGTTTCATACATCGCAATCGGCTCACAAATGCCATTCCCTCGAAACCAAAACCACACCCGGTGTTTGCATGCATGCCATTTGTACGGTGTTCGTCGCCACCAGCTCTCCGCAGGTGGCGCTGCTGCTGCCGGGCGCCCTCGCGCCGGACCGTCCGTACCCTCTTCCTCCAGCAGCAAGCGACGGCGGTCAACTGGCGGGCGCCGAGGGCACAAAAGTAGCGCTGACTTCAGCTTCTCCCCCTACCAACCGATGGTTATCGAGACGACTTCTTCCAGCGTGAGCCCTCGGCCGAGGCGAGCGAGCGAGCCAGTCCCGCCGACCTCCCTCCTGCCGTTCAAGCCGTTGATGGCCGGCGAGAAACGGCAACAACGTGAGCCGGGAGCAAACGGAGGGCCGACTCTCGACCAGTGCCTTGTCCTCCCCTCTGGGGGAGCGCTGAAGATCGATGGGCTGCTCTCGACGTCTGGCGCGGAGAGAGAATGTGGCGTCAGCATCGGTAACGGTGACGGTGCTGGTGGCGCAGATGCCGACAGGGGTGGTGGTGACGACGATCGGGGAAACGGTTCGAGCAACAGCTTGGAAAAAGACGGAGCGGGGGTCGCTTGCCCACTTCCAGGAGCAGAGAGAGAGGATGACAATGGCGGAGATCGGGCCATTATTTCGAGTTTTCATTTCAACGTAAGGGGCCGTTCCGTTGGGTCGACGTCTGCTTATTTCTCGAATACATCCGTGTACGCTCGTACCTTATGCAGCAGTACAAAATTGCCTCTACCGGCGCTTTTTTATGGGGGGTTCATCGGTAGTTTTTGGGACGGGGACGGTCAAGATGTTGCGAATGGGCATGTTAGGAGGCGGCTACCCCCGTGTTGTCAGCCACTATGTCCAACCGCATGTCGTTTCTGTTCATCTGTGGCCGGGTAAATTTCGACATCCCCGTCGTTACAGTACAGCTTTGCTCACCGGCGCTGTATTCACCGTTTTTCGTTGTGCACCTGTTTTAAAAACTCGTCGCCGCCAGACCCCTGGCTCACAGGCTATTGTCGAGGTCGAGGCAGGGGAATGCTTGGAGGAGGAGGAGGAGCAGGCTGCAGCGAGTTGTGACAAATCCGCCACGGTTGAGACCCCAGATGCCCCGGAAACTATACCAGGCGACTCAAAGGGACCACCCGTCGGCTCTCGCGCCCAAGAAGAAGTTCCACAATGTATTTCCGACAGAGGCTACGGCGGAAGTAATGACGGTAGCAACGATGCCAGTAACAACGGCAACGGTAGCAACTGCGATGAGACCTACGAAAGTGACGCGGTCGAAGGAGACGAACCGGAAAGGCGCGAGCGGCCGGGTGGACAGCCCTCGTCTCCCGAAACAGGAGATGTTTGCCGATCCTCGATGGTTTGCGACGAGGAGGAAACGACAGCTATTGCTGCTGCTGCTACCAGCGGCAACGACGGCAGCCACAGCGCCAACAACGACGACAGCTGCGAAAGTCACCGCAGGGTCGAAGGAGACGAACCGCTGAGGCAAGCATCGTCGGGTGGACAGCCCTCATCTCCCGAAACAGCGGCAGTTCGTGCATCCTCGGTAGTTGTTGACGAGGGGGAGCTGGCCGCCGCTACTGTCGCCAGTGGCAACGATGCCAACAACGATAGCACGAACAGCGACGGCAGTTACGACGGTCACCGGAGTGTAAAAAATGACAAAGCGCAAACGCCAGAGCCACCGGGTGGACTACCCTCATCTCCCGAAACAGAAGTTTGTGTAAGCTCGACGGTTGGTCACGAGGAGGAATCGGCCGCCGCCCCCGCTGCTGACACTGCCCCTGCGGCCATTGACGATATTCTCACTGTCTTCGTTGGTTCCGACAGGCGAGGCACATTGGTGGACGCCGTTGCCGTCTCAGAGAGCCCAAGCGTGTGCGACGCCGCCGCCGGTAGCAGCACCATCGTTGACCAGGGCGATCAAGGCAGGACGGTGGAGAACATGGACACGAATAATGCGTGCGTCTCTGGGATGGCGCCTTGTGCGCGGGGCGAGATCAGTGTTGAAACCAGCGGGAAGATGAAAGCGGAGGCGGAAGGGGGCGGGGATCCTCGGGAAACCTCCGGGGCAGGGGCAGGGGAAGAACCAAACCTCCCGGGTATCATTCATAAACAGGAGAGGTTGCGCAGTCAATACGAAACCACGCGAGCAACCGATACCGCTCCTCGGTCGACTTCGGGGGAAGAGACCAAGCCTGAGGGCGGCACTGAGCCCGCCTTTCACCCGGTCGACGCAGCAGACGCGGAACGCGAGACAACCGCGGTTGGCGTCGGATCAGGGGCTGAGGCATCTCCGGAAGAAGCCCGCCAAGAAGAAGTGCCGTTTCCTCAACTGGTGGACAACCAGGGTTTCCACCGCGACGATGGTTCGCCCGGGCGAGCGGCCGTCGGTATTGACTCAGCTGGTAGGAGCTCGGTCAAGGCCGAAACGGGTGAGGCATCTACTGTCTTGGCGACGGGGGAAAACTCTGCTGATGGGGGAGTCAATGCCGGGGCAAGCGGCAGGGAAGGTGTCGCGGCAGTGGATGTAAACGAGAGGGGTTCGCACGCCCGGGAGGGGTGTATTGTTACACCTAGTGGCACCTGTGGTGAAACTTCCGCGCAAGAGGGTGCGGGGGGTCAAGGGGGGGATGAAGCCGCAGGCAATGTGAGGGGGTCGGAGGTGGAGGTGGCCCTCGTAAATGGAAACGACAATGCTCTTCCGAACGCTAGAGGAGAAGACAAGGGTGAGAGTGGCCAAGAGGATACGAGCGAAGCTCGTGCCGGCGCCGGCACCGGTAATTGTGCTACAGTCGCTGTGGAGGCGAGGGAAGGATTTACCGGTGGGCAGATCAGCGACGAACAGGTCCTGGAGGCAGCAACATCGGTGGTATACGAAGGGGCCAGGGGCGTTGTGGAGAAGGCGATGGCGGATGAGGGCATGGAACACGGCGTGGGGCTTGAAAGTGTTATTAGTGCGGAAAATCATGAAATTGAGACAGAGGAGAAGCAGGGGGGCGGGCAGAACGAAGAGGGCGACGTTGCGGAACAGGTGACGGTCGATGACGAGCACCTCGCTGCGGGAAGTCGTATGGATGATGTCAAGTCCGCAGTTTCCCCTGGCCTACCAAGCGACGAAGAGGGCGGTGTGGAAATGGGTGAAGAGGAGGAGAAGGAGGAAGAAGAAGAGAAGGAGGACGAGAAGGAACGTAGTGACGAAGGAACCAGGGGCGAGGAGGTCGAGCACGGTAACAGCATCGTTGACAACGAAACCCTTGTGGAGGAGACTCTGGCCGGTCTGTCCTCTTCTGCACCCGATGGAGTGGCGAACAACTCCTCTGTTGAGCCCGCTGCTGATATCAGCGATGGATTCATCTCCAGCTTCACTGAAGATCGGCTGGACAACAACACGGCGACGATTGACGTGGCGCCCGCGGAAGCAGACGGCGCCACCCCTCCCGTGGATTGGGATATCTTGGCGAAGAATCAGGCGGAAGAGGTCGAGGTGCCTCTGGACTGGGAAGCTTTGGCGCGGGAAGTCGAAGCTGAGTGGGTGTTGGAGGGCAGCGGAGACGAGAGCGAGCTTTCGTTTACGGCAAACTCGCCACCGGTCAACGCCCCGGCCTCCCCAGCCAAGGCCGCTGAAGCGTCTGTTCAATACTCCGGGGATGAACTTGCGCTTGCAACGGCGGAGGAACGACCGCCGAGTCTCGCCTCTGTCGGTCTTGTGGACTCAGCGTCGGCGCACGGCAGTAGTGAACCTGAGTGGCAGCAGGAGGTGGAGGTGGAGGGAGAGCCGGAGAGGCGGGCGGGCGGAGATGAGGGTGAGCCGCCAGAATCCGCGCCACCGACGGCTACTCCGCCCCATCCCCGGCGAAGTTACGATGATGGCGGCTCCGGTGGCAGCAGCGGCGTGGCAGTGACGCCCCCCTCTGACGCGAATTTCCGGCAAGACACAAAGGAGGCAAAAGACGACTCCGACTGCGGCTCTTCGCTATCACTCACGGATGGACCGGTCAGCAGCATCGCCGGGCTGCCGGTCACGGAGGCCACAACTTCGACCCCGGCCCTTGCTGGGCAACCCTTTGTCCAGGACAGCGAGGGCGTTACACCTACCCATGCTATCAGTGCCGCGCAGACCTCCGTTTCCGCTTCCCCGGCCCGATCCCAACAGGCGCAACGAGCGACTTTGACCGCTCCTGAGGAGGACGCCGGCGCTTGCCCTCCCGCGAAAGGGGACCCGCCCGCTTCCCCGAGCAATGCTCCCGGCCAGCCCCAGTCTGAGGCCGCCGCGGAAACCGGCGGCGACGGCAACGGTGTCCCAGTCTGTGAGAACAGCGGCCACCAAGACGCACAGGCCGCCGACCCTGTAGTACGTGTACCCCCTGTCGGTGACGGCCGCGACGGGGGAGCGGGACCGCCGGAGGCCACAGCACGGAACGGGTCTGGTGACGTCGGGATTACATGTGCGCAGGGCTCGTGCGGGTGCGTACTGATGTGAGGGCGCGCGTACGTCGGGATGACGACAGAGGGTAGATGTGGTGGGTGTAGGCGGTGTCGCATCGTGCGATATGGGGTTTCAGCACTTGGACAAAAAGGCTGCCGATTTGTTGCTGAAATGAGCAACCTTGAGTAAGAAACGACAGCAAACACCACAACGTGGGTGTACGTGCGGAGGTTTGGTGGTGTGGGTGTGGGTGTGCGTGTTGTTCGCATGTAACTTTCGTAGTCCGTCTTCGGTATTTGTCCGAGTCCTTGTGATTTTTTTTCAGTGGCTGGTTGCTTCACCGGTAAAAGCGTCTATATCTGTGCTCCAGGCGCAAGCGTTCAGTATTGTATCATGTTTGTGGGACGCTTACAGATGATTCATGGTGGATGCCAAATATTGGATTACGCCGCTGCTTTGCTAAATAGTAGTCGTGTTGACTGTTTTCGGTAGTAGGTGCTCATGGCGTGCTTTGTGCAGTCAAGTTTTCGTCGTCTAGAGCGTCTTCCCGGGGACTGTATAAACGTTTGGTGCTGCTCTTGTCGGTATTTTCCTGTCGCGTGCTCTGGCTGCGCGGCGTCTGCATATATGTATGGCGGGGTTGCTCGTGTTTTGCTGCTCCCAGTTTGCTCCTATTATTATTCGTGTGGTGTTTGACTTTGTGGGCGGGCTGTTGCTGAACATTACCGGCTACCTGCCAGGCGTGCTCGAGAGGAAATTCGTTTCGTGTGTCTACAGATTTACACGTTTCCACTACTTGCTTGGATTTTCTAACGGTTCCACTACTTGCATGGATTTTCGAACCATCGTGTTTTTTCTAACAATCATGGATTTATTGAAGAGTATTATGTATCGCGGCGACTCGCGCCGTTCCTTCGGTGCCTACAGAATTTACACCTGGGTTGTTTTGACGATTCTTGTCCAAGACATTTTTGTTCCACTCGACCTCGTGCACCGAAGGTTTCGGTTGATTGTGACGTTCGTTGCTGTTGTGTTTTTATGGGGGGGTGTTGTTTTGGGGATGGACGAGGGGGCTGACGTGAGCGAGTGGATGTTTCTCCCGTGAGAGTATTTCGGGGAGCTGTCGTGAGGTATATAGTCCGTTCGTCTGCGAAAACTCGGCGGCAGCGCACCCCTTTTGGTGCTGTGGGTCGAGTTGTGATGACGTTTTCGTAAGCCCGGGGCTGCTCTTCAGTGGTTGTATCACGTGCCATAATTGACGAAACAGGTGTTTGTGCCCAGCGCTGGATGTGGTGCAAGGGTGACTATGACCATCTCTATGTTTCCTTGTGCCGTCTACACCCACACCTTCTCGGGAGGAAATGCTTGCAAGCGTGAGTGCAGCAAACGAGAGACTTAAGTTTGGTCAAAGGCCCTGTATTGTGGCTCTTCGTACCCCCCCTCGCAACGCACCTGCCAGCACATACTGCGAAGAGCACTGCTGCAGGAGGGACGGTCCAAGCATGAACCTGGCTGGGAGTGCTATCCCTCATGCGTGCTCCATGAACATTGGGTGTCCTTGAGTGATCGGCAACAACACGAACGTCCTTTCTGTCACGAAAGGTACCCGAACATTATGAGCGGGGCAAAACTCCACATGTGGACCTTTTTTCTCACAAGCCAATCTCTTGCTGCGACTGCAAAAAGCCACAGTTTGTGAGGGAATATTCTTGGAGGCACGAAAGGTCGCCTTTTCATTTAATACCTCAAACCAATACCGTAAGGTAGCGAGTCAGCGCAAAGGGGTGGGTGCGATCGATTTTAAAAGCGTAATTTCTCCACAACCAGGAGCGTGCGAGCGCCAACTGATACTTGTCAGGAAAGCTGCCGATGAGATATGTCCAAAACCGCCCTTTTCGACTGTGGTAACCTCCTGGTTGTGGAGAAATTACGCTTTGAAAATCGCTCGTACCCCTGTGCGCTGACTCGCAACCTTACCGTACACGTTCTTCAAGGTGGTTTCAACGAACGAAAGGCCGACGATGGTGAAAGCAGATCCCCTGAGAAAACTTTGCGAGATTTGCAAAGAGGCATATACGACGACCGCACGTAGCACGTACACCATCGATAGCGGAACGTACGTGAACAATACAGACAGGCAGCATCACGCGGGCCCAGAATTTTGCGGGGGTGGGGGAGGGAGAGCTCAAATGTTGCTTGCCCCCGCCACTCGAATATTAACCACAAGTGCCAATCGAGACGGAACACTGGAAATTATGGTCCGTACTACAAACTACCCTGCAGGGCGGCGCCTCTTTCATATGCTGCTCTCTGTCTATGGTGCACTCACTGGAGATCTTGGTAGTAGAAGTACCGTCAAAATTCGGGCAACGTCCGTCTGGCTCACGTTACACGGGGGATTGGTGGGGTGGGGGTCCGATATTAAAAAGTCCACACCACAGTGGTACACATCATAATGGTACAGGGGTTTCCTAAACAGCCCGGGGGGTAGCCCCGGCCTCACCCTGAAGCCTTTTTCCCTTTGGCCAGCGGCTTCACAAGAAAGGGCCATCTCACGAGAATTCCCAAAAATGCCAGGACCTAACTGCGGTGGCCGAGCGTGCCGGAAGAACGAAGTCCGCCTTGCTGACATCGTACTGCTGTGGTTTACGCCTCATGCAAGTGACAAGAGCTTCCACTTTCCAACGCAAGCACCTCACAAACTTTCTTGGGAAAAGCAACAAAAACGGAGAGATCAGTTCGCAAGTGGCTTTCCTCCACCCCGCCCTTTCTCTCTCCCCCATGCTTGTCTCTAGCTCTACTTTCCCCCTGACGCTGCTTCTACTCCAGTTTCCACAGGTTCCGCGAGAGGTCGCAGCTTGGCCACCAACATTTCCAGCACTACGGGGTTTAATCCATCCGGGACAATCATGTCGCAAAATTTCTGCCATCGAAGAACAACAGGGCAAGGAGCAAAGGGCAAGAAAGCGCGAGATGACGGCAATTACGCGGCAGTGACGTCGTGCTTCAAGCCTGTGTGTACATGGATGTTACAGGGACATGATAGCGAAACATGTAACTTTCCCACCTTACCCATGCCGCCTACACGACCTACCGTGCTGCACGAAACAGTTGCCGTCACATCTGTTCGTGATTCTCATCGCAGCCGTCGCGGCACATGGTCCGAACTTTCTCTCTCTTCTTTTAACGCGCACCTTGGACGGCGTCACGAAGAGCTCGTGCATCGGTCGAACAGTTGCCAGGTACTGCGCGACGACCTCGTCAGCCGTACGATTTCTCTCCGCGATGTCTCTCTGCATTCGCCTAATGAATCTGATGTCCGGTTCCTGTTCGAGCATGCACGATGCAGAGCAGTGGTGGGGGGCTTTGTTGTGTAAAGGCGGGGTGCGGTGTGGTAGGCCGGTGACGTAGCTCGGCATGAATCGTCACGCGTCCTGCGAAAAACCAGAAACACGTGAAGCACACCAGGTAAGGAGGACACGCCTGGGGTACTACATTGATGTGCGGCAATTTCATAGACGCAGAGCACTGCGTACCATATTTTGTTTGGGCATGTAGCCTATGACTACACAATACAGCGGGAGAGAGGTACTGGAAACAGGCCAGCCAGGAGGCTTCTACCCGTCAATGTCACGACCAAAGTATCAGCAACGTTCGGCGCAACTTTGAACATTCTCCCAGGTGCCACCTCCGCCCTTCGCCTGCACCGTCAGCGCATCAGTACAAATCGCTATCTCTTACTTTTTCGTTTTTATCGTGGGCGTTCTCACCGTATCTACGAAGATCTTGACGTCCAGCAGGTCTCGAAGCTCCGCGTGTGCGAAAATCAGGATCCCTTCCACGATGATGACTCCCCTGCCTTCAGCCCTGACGATGCAGTGTCATACGTAACGAGAACACCAAGATTGCAACAATGCAGGCGGCGGGGTATCCGTTCGAACCCCTACAAAGTGTAGGACCAGATTATCCTTGGAAAGCCTTCAAGAACCATCGGACTCGAGAGGCACTGCTCTGCGGAAGCCAGGACATTAGCATCTTCCTAGTTGTAAAGACACATATACATCGGGTAGAGGCCGGGAGACCTGGACGATAAGTTTCGTTTGGTCTGGGATTTTTCACGAAGAACGATCCGCCGAACGCTGCGAACACCGGGGGGGATCTTGAATATGGGAAAGTGTATCCACGAAGGCACAATCTCATCTTCACCGTTCTTGCACGTGGCTTGGCCGGTGCCACGCTTGGCATTCCTCTCCACATTTCAAGGAGAGAATATGCTTTAGCCGGTGGACGGCAACACCACTTCTTCACGGGACTCTTGACCTCAGATACAGCAAGGCTATTCTCCTTTCATTCAATGAATCAATAACGATGGTTTTCGCGAGACTTTTCTTTTTTCCAACAACCAGGGAAGCTTCTACTGCCGCAGGGCGTCGTAAACGATGCGAGGCACCAGAAGAAGACCCGACCTGGGATGGACTCGTGCATCTTGCCACGGATTCGCGAGAAATGAAGTCTGTGAGAAAATAGCACAGGGAGGGGGTACGCAGACCCTATCCTAACCCTAACCCTATCCCTACTTCCCCGATTGCATGCTTTGTCCAACACGTTATCGTAATCTAAAAACCGTGCGCGAAGGTTACTGGGACCCCGGTGTGCTGCGTTGAGAACACGAGGACGTACCTCGTCGTCTCCTCTTTGCGGGAGTGGACGGTGAAGTCGTACATAGGAACGTCCGCAGCCCCGCCTGCCTTGAGCACCTCTGCATCCACACGGGAGCAAAGAAAAGGCGCACGTACCGCAAACGAGCGGAGCCATTTACGCAGGGAACGAACGTAGAAAAATGTGTGTGTGGCGGCTTAGACTACTTCCAGGGGCGTAGGGTCCCAGTGTCGGGGTGTCGAGGTAGCTATACTCCGCCACCGAGGTCGGGGAAGTTTTATCCGTTGATGTTTGGGCAAGGAGAAGAGAGTGAGCAGGCTGATGCCACCTACCTCAAAGAGACAGAGAGATGCTGTACCCCCCGTAGACCGACTTTCAAAGCTCGATTGCTCCAGAACCAAGGGAACGCGGAAAGAGTCCGATAATTCTACCAAACTTGTTGACGTTGGTACGACTTGGTTGTAGAGCAATCGCGCTGTGAAAATCGGTCTAGGGGGGGTGCCGTCTTTCCGCCTCTTACCGTGTGTCAGCAGTGGCCACGTGGGACGACCCGTGTGTCCATCAGTGGTCTCCCGAGTCCCCATGGTTCTCGGAAAGCATCTACGGATCGGTTCTTCCATTGGGCCGGATCCTACGCTTCTAAGAAGTACCTGTCGTTCACTACGTGGATATTTTTCCCTGAACAACACGGTAGCAGCACACACAGCCGCATGCGTGCACTTCGACGTCGTACGTGCTCACAGTCGTCCTGATATGCCATTGCTACTGCAGAATCTCCTCTCGGGACGCATCATCTGCGCACAACACACGGACGTGTTTGCTGTTCTAAATGTTTGACACGCCGCTGCGCTTCTCGCTCACACCATACTCGATGCGCACACGCAGCTGAAGATTTGGTCAGGCAGTATCTCTGCTCCCCACGCCAGCCACGCGAGCACAGAACAGCAGTGTACTTCGTGGCATCATATAGTGCTGGCTCTGGCGCTCCCGATTACTCTTGTCTTGTTCGTTTGTTTCTGCGTTCTACGAAACACTTCGTAGTTTGGCTTTGTTGATTTTCAGGCCATAGAGAAGGCATCCGTAAAACTCGGTAACCTTCAACTAAATATACGCACGTGTACATGCCAAATACTACCCCGCGCGGGAATCGAGTCATCACCGGTGGGCGAGGGTACGCCATGCACCATGCAGTGTACGAACGTATTGTGTCTATCTCTCCACAACGACGGTACCTGTTTAGATGGTGTCGAGTTTCCACCCAATCAACACGCGGATTTACACGGGGGGTACGCCCCTTTTTTCTGTGACTGGCAACGACGAATCACCCTCTCAAACTTACCGAGCTGCTTCACCAGCAAGGAAGTTTCGAGCGCGTCTGGGTGGTCGAAGTTGGTCTTGGCTCGTTGCTCGATGGGGAGATGGGAAAGATCCCGGTAGTAGTAGTCGTGGCAGATGTACGTGACCCTCCGAGCACCACCCAGCGCTTCAACGACGGCTCGAGATAACGTCCTAACAATTGGTTCCGGGAAAAGTGGGTGGAGGAGATGTATTTAGAACAGGAGCGAGAGAGGGGTTTCGAGTACACGTCTCGCGTTGAAAAGAAACAGAGGTGTGCTGTGGCGCGGCGAGTTGGGTTCCGCAGCAGTCGAAGTGCTACCCGATGGGCTTGCCGAAGAATCCGGTTGGGCGTGGGCCTACGTCTCGCGAAGTGTCTACATGTTCAACGCGTGCACTGGGTATCGTAGGAGGTAGACATGTGGCATGCAACGCACCTGCACACAGCATCGGACTTGAGACAACCGATATTGATTTTAATGAGCAGCCGTACATATCATACGTGCACCAAAGCAGCGTTGAATGGAGTTGGCAAAACAAAACATACCCGTGTCCAAGGCGCGAAGAAAGATGGAAATTGAACAAAGTAAGGCTTGGGCGTCAATTGAAACAAAGAAATACCTGACCAAAGAACACAGCCTAGCAGCGGGCTTTCCTCGCAGCCGCATGCCTATACTGTAGAGGGGTAGGTCAACGTTGAAGTAAATCGGACCTCGACCCCTCCCGTTTGGTCCCAATCTACTGAATGTCCTCCCACATACCTACCGCCGGCTGCACCAAAGTCTTCGTTCAATGATTCACGCTCCCCTAATTTTAAAAACAGACGGGACGACCCTTGCCTTCAGGGAGCAAGACCGGAGGCCACACAGAGGGCTGACTCACTCTGTGGTGCATGTCGTTCAGCAAGGTTGTAACCGCTGGATTCGATGATACATACGCCAAGCATCGTGGGCACCACGGTGTCGAAAGAGGCACCCGCAACCTTGATTGCTCACGCAGCAGTACGTGCCTACAAACACTCACGTCTTCCCCGAGCCCGAGCCCCCGGCGATGCCGACCACAACCGGCTTCATGACTTCCACGGTTGGAATTTCTCACGGGAGCCTTTCGCTGTTGGACTCACAGGCGTTGGTCGCGTGGGGTGTGCGCACGTACAATCGAACCTGTGTAGCATTTCATTGGTATCGTCAACATTTCGGGCTTCTACCCGCGTCCGTAAATATCCAAGCAGAACCAACCTAGAACTTACAACACCAACTGGAAATCTACACCGGCAGCACCAACCCGGCACCTAATTCGGCTCACCAACCTAGCTAGAACTTGACCGCCCGACGCCAATCTAGCTGTCGCGAATGGGTTTGCAGGTGGGGCTTTTACGGCTTCCCCCGGCTCCTCACAAAACAAGATAGAGTTATGAACTTAACGGCGTTGCACAAACAGCTTGATCGTAGAGCGAGGGGTTTGCACCAATGCGTCAGTACGTGCAGGGGACGTAAAAGTTGAAAGAAAGAGCGACCGATACCAGGTAGCATTCTGGGCCGTACCGTAGATCCCAAAATCAAACTGTGCTCGGACCTCTATGTACACCATGTTCTGGTCTAGGCCCGGTAAACCAGCTTGATTCGCGTTCAATCAGTTTGTTCACCGGGGACGAGTTAACCCAGAAGACCCAGCAATTTGGTACAATCGGGCTGCTTCCTGCACGTACATACAGGTCGCTGGAACACCTCTAGAGTAGCTTTTGGTTGCCTGCTGCTACTGTGAATGCATGCGATGCCACTCACTCACAATATGGGTAGGATCTGGCAATGTGGTTGCTTGTGGTGAAAGTAGATGTTGGCAAGACTGAAGTACGCCTTTTTCTGGGGTTGTTCACCAGAATTATCTGCGGGAAGATTGTCCTCAAAACGTAATTTTCAAGCACGTCGATCTCACGCTACAAGGCCTATAACTGCTAGCGGCACAGTGTTAATCGACGGGGGTGCCCAAATGCCTATGGCTTCTTTTTAAAAGTTGTGGCAGAGGCTTGTGTCTCCTAAGGCTTAGCTGGAGAGGGGAGATTATGAAGCTTATAGCAGTCGGGGGCGGGGCATCGCCAAGGACTATTGTCTAGCAGTTTGACCCGTGAGAAACAGAAAACATATCGTTGGATCAAAAGCACCATCACGGTGCCGCGGAAGGACGGCGTTCCATTTTAAGGGTTGGGATGAGGGTTTTCGGGCTTCGTGTTTTAGTTCACCGTTTTCTTCGTGACCCGGCCATAGCCTGAGAAGTTCCGAACGGATGCATAACAAAATGGCCTACATAGAGGAATTGGTACCAATGTCTAGTCAACTGGCGGAACTGGATAGAGAGCCACCCTGACACAGGGTAGAACCTAGGTTCGAAACTGAGCGTTTCCTCCTGATGTTTCCTCTGGGTGGGTTTATCGGCAAGTAACGCGTCCGGGTGCATGCATGGCTTATTTGCGTCCCACATGAACGAAATGTTAGGGCGCGGAAGGGTATACTGCACGGGGGACGCGGGCGTAAACCAGTTTGCTATTTGGTACAAGGCGCGCCTCCGGAGTGGGGTCATCAGAGCATAGTAGTAGTTTCATCAAGGCCTGACGCAAGATGAATAAAAGCATGTGGTGAGAATCAACAGCCAGCTGTCATCTCCCAAGCTCGGTCAGCGACGTAAGATAGCACACCCCCTGGACCGCTTTTCAAAGCTCGGTTTCTCCACAGCAGAAATAACGGCAGTGCTGAAAATGGCGGCGTTGGAGCCGTCTCGTCGAAATGCGAGAGTTTTCCGAAAACGTATCGTTTCGTTTATGCATCCTCGCTGTCACAGAGTAATCGAGCTTGGAAAATCGGTAGAGGGGGTGGTATCTTATGTTACCTACGCGGTATAAAGCTCTTCGCTGTTGAAAGTAAACTACGTAACCAGCTGGGTCGCTTTGTGATCACCGTGGTAGTTACCGCCGTGTTATGCTTCTGGTTGAGTTAACCACCGAGTCAGGCCCGAGATACCCAGCTGCTGACACACGCCCAACATGCCACCAGAGGATAAAACGAAACAACCTCTCTCGCCGCCAACCACCGAGCGGGTACGGCGTGAGAGCTAATCTACCACTCAAATCGCGCCAATAACCAAAAGCACTCTCGATCTTTGACAAAACATGCAGTATTTGCGGAGGTAATTCCACTTCCTGCAGTACACCGCGCCACGGTGGCGATATTACACATGGAGGGCAACCACTGCTGCTGCTGTATATAACGATGAGGGGGTGGTATCTTGTGACATCCAAAACGGAAATATAGGCAGTTCGCCGTGTTCTAAGTCCGCAGCAGCATATTCCTGCAGGAGACCTTGCCGTATGCTGTGCGTTGTGGTGCGAAGGCACTCGCCGATCTCTGACAAGGCTTCTCTGTTTACGGTTTGGACGCACCAATGTGGATCAGACTGCATACGTCCAAGCACTCAAGTTTTGAAACTGCTGCTGTACACAGCAGTACCTGACACTGGAGGTACGTACATGTATGCATACCATGAAACTACTGCTGTAGCGTTTGTTCACCTGATGTATACAGTAGATTGTTTGGAGGAAGGACGAGCAAGCATATACTAATCGCCGCCCCAACTCCAGCAGCAGATCTGTACGTCTAGGTCATAGCTGAGCGCTGAGCGCTCTGCGCATGCGACCACGCCGGTCGCGACCAGGTCTGCGGGGGGTCTCTGCCCCGGGTGGGGGGGGGGTACACACACATGGCGGCAAGAAGTTTTGGTCATTCTATATATAGCTCAGCATCATGCATGCGCAGCTGGTTGCTGCTGGTGCTCGCTGTCGGTTGTACATCGGCGGTAACCGCCGAACGATACCACCAGCCCACACAGCAGCGCCTTGAGGTCCAGGAATAAAGCAAGGAAGATTTGAACGAGCATCTCACAGGATAGCAAGCGGTTTGAAATTCTAACCCTCGATTCATTAGTTGATTGGGATCGAGGCTCTGTTGTTGTAGTAACGTAGTAACTGAGCGCAGAAGTGTAACGGCGGTGTGCCAGGAGTGCTGTTACGTCTGACCAGCACGGTCTACAGCAGCCTACAAGCAGCACAGTCACACCACTAACATACGACACTCGGGCAATTTTCAACCAGCCTGCCCATCCCGTGTGGCTGTGTTCACTTCTTCTAGGTCATTCATACCGCGGTGGACACCTGCTGTCCGTTGTTAGCAGGTGATCTACGCTTTCTCAACGACAAAACCGCACAATCTCCGCACCTATTTTTCGAACTTGTGTTGTGGACGTTTGGCATTTTGCATGCAGTAGTCAACGGATACGATCGTTGTCCAACGGGAAGCAGCGTCAACCACCGGCAAAAAAAGGGCCGCCCTGCAGGATGATGATTGCAGAGTTCTCGTCAACAAAGCACATGACGTAATGCATGTCTTCCTGCCGCAGTAGGGAAAGACTGTGTGTGGTGAGAGAGGCGGAGAGCATGGTCATGTGCTGTGTGATGACTCCACATCGCCCCTCTCCCCTCTGTCTCTGCGCGCGATGAATGAACACGGGCGATCATTACATTTTTCGAAACTTCTTGTTCAAAAATTTGAAAAACTCGCTCGTTGCGTTGGCACACTCAAAAATATCAAATGTATGTGTGTGTTCCGAAATTTGAGAAAAAAATGGTTGCCGCCCTCATTCTGCTGTCGCTCTCTGACGTAGAGTGTACACGGAAGCGACGGTTAGTCTACACAGCAGCACACAGCACGTGGTAGAAGCCTGTAATGGAGAAGCACATATGTACGACAAACCACACAGGAACACGCGCAGTACGTGGCGAACAATCACAGGACAAACACACCCACCCCATCACTTTTATACCATAAATAGTATACATATCGTGTGCGGTCTGCGAACCCCCTTCACACAGCAGGTCGTCTCTCTCCCTCTATCTCTCCCTCTCTTTCACCTGCGCGCCAACCTTACGTCTCTCTGCGCCGGAGTCACATTTCTTCTTCGGGAGCGGGGTCTGCTTTACCGAATCGCGCGGCAGCAAGGGTTGAACCCTCACCAGGACGCTGAGAGAGAGGGAGGGAGAGAGAGAAAGAGAGAGAGAGGGTAGATAGGTAGGCTGGGCGCTGGCGTGTACGAGACGTTTTACGAGGATTCGAAACCATATACGCTTACGGTGAGAGGAGGGAGAGGACGGACAAAAACGTGGACCAGCTTCCAGTCAAACGCAGATTCCGGTAAGTGCACAACTTCGTCATCCCTCCCCGTGGCCTTTGTTTTTTGTGTGTCCGAGCCAAGAACCTGCTCTGCCTTGGTGTCTTCCCGGCGCCCGCGGGCCCTCACGCTGCTACCAGCCTCGATGACGGAAAGCCAATTAGGTCGCATGCGGCTCCGCTTCGCGCGTAGATTTTACATGCAGCTGGCTGGCTCCTGAAACATACGCAGAGAGAAGGGGGGAAAGCGGGAGAGATGGTGTTCTTGCAACCAGCAAACAACCTTGTTATTGACCACACACGGCTCGCTCATACCGGTTTCCTTCTTGCCGTTCACCCCGCTGACCTTGCCCCCTACCCCTTTTCCCCCACAGAGGCGCGCTGGTAGGCGGCCGCCGAGCAACGGGCGCGCAATCAGTTCTCGCACAGCCCCGGAAGGAAGAGGCTTCGTGCATCGAATCAACCCGCCAAAAAGAGGGGGAGGAGAGAAGGGCGCCCTTCGATCATTAGTCTGGCTGCTGCTGCTGCTGCTGCTGCTGCTCCACCTCTCGACGGGGCCGCTGCTGGCTCGTCTTGAGAAATGGCTGGGAGGGCACGGGTTGGTGGCTCTGCTGCCGTGAATGTGCCGCCTGTCGCGACCGCTACGGGTGCGTTCTCGGACTCCGACAGCTCTCTCGACATGGGCAGCGACGACGAGAGCCAATTCTACGTGGCCCCGGCGGTAGCGGCGACGGCGCCAGAGGCAGCTAGAGGGCCAGCGGCTGTGGCGGATACCCTTGTTGCGCGACAGGGAAGCGACAGCACTACACGAACACGCCGGCGTGGCAGCGGGATACCAAGCCTTATAAGTAGGCACGGCAGCAGGAGTACGCTCAGCGTGGATAACAGGGCTAGCCGCACGCAGGAGATTAGCAGGTGCGCAACAAGTATGTGTTGCCGCATGGCATGCATAGAAAACCGACACCAAGGAGACCAGCAGCGCTGGGTATCGTTTTGGTCTCATTTTTGAGGGCGAACCGCTGTACCTGCATCTGCAACCTGACTGGTCTGTGCACAGGTTTTCGCTGCTGTGCGGCTTTCACATGACGTACGCATAAGGGTTTTTGATTTTTTTGTCGTTGAGGGACTTGGCCCTCCGTGGGCCCCTGCTGGTCAGAGAGAGATTATCGTCATGTACATTTTTGGTGCATACGCTATTTACGTGACGATGCTCTGCTGTAGGATGGTGAGTGTATGGTACGTGTCTCTGGCTGTGTAAACGATAGAGTGTACTTGTATGTTGTTGTCCATCCGGTGCGTACTTTGTGTTTTGCGCTTTGCTCACACGAGCCCGGCCGTATTCTCTCGCTATTCTCTCGCCTCTGGCCGAGAGCTCGATTTCCTCGTCTCAACACCGCCGTCCTTACTTTCAACACCGCCTTGTCTCCCGGTCCTGGGTGGAGATCCCAACAAGCAGATAGGGACGCAACATTTTTGCATGTGTTGTCTTACTTCAACTTTGGGAAGGTGATCCTTTAGAACCAGACGAGGAGGTGCGCAGGTCCGCTTGTTCCCGTGCCACTTGCTTACGTATTGAGTAACAAGACGGAATATGCGACTTGCTACAATACAGCTACAACTTTCCCGAAATGGGACCTGCTCACAAGAAGACGTGGCTGGCAAATTACTCATGTTGACGTTTGTATTTTCCCAGCTGCCCGCCGCGTGGCACCGACTATTTGCTCTCTCTGACTCGTTTCCTCACTGCCGAGTGTGGAGTGCAACAGCGCACTCTCGAGTGTTGTATGCCCCAGACGGCAGCTTGGAGCATTGCTCTTCTTCTGTGTCGCTTTCTCCCTTCCCGCTGGATTACCCCGCTTCCGCCCCTCAAAACTGAAACTGAAGTACAAAACCACGCTGGTTGCCCCATGCCGAACAACATCACTGCTGTCGCTTACAGCCAAGCAGCAGCAGCGGCAGTCTTCGCCGCTGAAGCCGGAGGCTACAACGTCGCCGGCCTTCCCCCTGCCTACTCGAGCGGAGCCGGCCGCAACGGCGGCGGCGCCCACCACCGGCGAATAAGCTCCACCACCTACACCAACGGCACCTCCTCGTCGCTGGAGCTCTCGGTCAACTCGGGGCCTGGAGGTCGAACCATTCCGCGGGAGATGGTAGCCGCCGGTGCGGACGAGGCATTTGACCCCGCGGGAGGCGGCACCGGTGGAGAGGAGGCCGACGATGGCGGGAAGGACTCGAGCAGCGAGGGGGATATGACGTGGGAAGACTTCCTGGCGACGACGGACGACCTGGGGGACTCCGCGCAGGCGGCGGCGGTGGCCTCGGCGTCGGCCATGGCGCCGCCGCAGGCACCGCCACCGCCGGGGGGGGCGGCGGCGGGCGTGGGGCCACCGATGATGATGTCTCGTCGCCCGCAGCAGCAGCAGCAGGCGGCACCGGCGCCGGCACCGGCGCCGCCGCTGCCGATGCGCCCCGCTGCCGCGCACCGGTACTCAAACAGCACCGCCGCTCCTGTTGCTACTGCTCCTGGGGCCGTCGCCCCGGCGCCCCGGCTGGGGGGCAGCGGGGCAAGGGAGGCGCGGTCCCAGTCCGCGAGCTCCTTGACCCAGGCGCGGGCGAAGGAGACCGGCATGAGCTTCGGCAGCAGGTTCACCTCGTGGGGTACGTCCAGGGCGGACGACGACAGGAGCGACGAGGGCTCCGCCGAGAGCAGTGCGGGGTCCGACAGGAACGGGGACGCCGCGGTGCTGAAGCAGGTGCGTGTGTGGTACGCAGCACAGAGCAGCAGCGGTGGCAGCAGCAGTAGGAGGAAGCTCTCCTGCTTTTTTTTTACTGCTGCTGCTGCTGCTTGTCGGTTTTGGTAAATTCTGTGCGGTTTTCTGTGTCTACCACTGTGCTCGACCTGTTGTGTTGTTGCTGTTGTCGATACGTTCCTTGACGTTGTTGTTGTTATCGTCGTGTAGTCTCACGGCGGGCAGTAGAGCCACCCATGTCAACGTTGAAGCGTATTGATAGACCGTTGTGTGTGTGTGTGGGTCGATGCCAACCATTTTTGTCAAGACGATTTCCGACGTCAGGCCATTCATGAAAAATTGAGAAATGAACGAGTATCCACCAACCAGCCAGTATCCACCAACCAGCCTTCTGGGCTGTCACAGCAGCGGTGCGCGTGCTCTTGATCGACTCTGATAACCCGTTGCTCCTTCGTTTGCACCCTCCGAAGGAATTGACGTGGGGACAGTTCATCACGCAGCGTTTCGAGGAACCGGCCTCTCCAACCAAGAATAATACTAGGGGCGGCCCGGCGCCTCCTCGAAAGCCACCGGCGGGCTTCAACGGCTTCGACGATGATGATGTGAGCAACATCTTCACGCGACCGCCGTTTGGTGTGGCCGGTGACGAAGACACAACTTGCGACGAGTGGTGTTGCTGTCGTTGTCTACCATGACACTTTTGTTGTTTTGTGTCGTCGTGATGATTGTGTAAACGCTCTTCCTCGATGGGTGATTCTGCAAAGTTCTGGATGAAAGGAAGAAAGGAAGGCGACTCGGCTGCAGTGCGGAAAGTCTTTCGGGCTGTTGCCGTTGGGAGAGAAAGAGCTGTCGCGTGTTCGTCTCTTGTGCATGCGATCGAATGTGATTGCCTTGTCTATCAGTGGCAACGATCACGACCCTCAACCAAGTATTGCAGTGTAGGTCGCGCCGTCCCCATCTCGTTTTGAACACTCCCTTTCTCTTCTGCTGTTTGGCAACCGCGGCCGGAATGATTTGTGGTGATGGTGATTTCATCTGTAATTTCCACCTCGGTGGAGCTAGTAGTACGCGTTCTGTCACGGTTGGGTGGACAGCAGAATTATGTTGTTTCGTGAGCCACCAGCAACCATGTCATCTTCTGAGTGATGTACTGTACTTGCGGACCTTTCTGTGCTGTCTTGTCATTGCACATTTTATGCTTGGCGGAAGCCAGATGAAGAGGGTTCTCATGGTCTTCTCCGTGGCTACTGAAATGCCGTTTGGGCGTGGTTTGCTTGCCACACCATTCCCCTCTCGCTCACTGCAGTGGTGCACCCGGTTTAGCGACATGCACCTATTTAGCGGCATGCCCTGTATAGCGACCACGAAATGTCGTGGCAACGCTGCTGCCCGACTGTATACCGGCAATAGCGGTCACAGCAGTCCTGCCTGCACTAGGGGTCGCTAAATGGTACCAGTCGCCTCGGTCTCCCCATTGTTTGGTTTCGAGTTTTTCCGCACGCCCCCCCCCCTCCGGGTCAACAACCAAACTTACTTGTGTGGCCGGCCACCTGGCTGTCGTCCCTCGTTTTGTTTTTCCAGGACAACGACATAGACGACATCATGTCGACGTTTGGACCGGTCTCGATCCGGACGGGTCGAGAGGACATACTATTCGGCCCCCAGGACGAGGAACCGCTGCCCATGTTCGACCGCATCATCGGGAAGGCTCGCGACGCTACTTCGGGCAGGCCGGACGGCAAGGGCGACGGGGCTCGTAACAGCACCGGCGGCGGCGGCGGGTCGGGCGGGGGGGCTCGCAACAGCAGTATCGCGAGCAGGGCTCGGAGTGGGGCGGGCGCGGGCGGTATCGGCGGCAAGACGGCCGGGGGCATCCGCGGAACGTCGTCGGCCGGGGCGCAAGGGTTTCATCACAAGAAGCCTACCGTGCCGCCACCGGCGTATTCAACGCTGCCCCGGCCGAGGGAAGCCCCCTTGGCGGCGCCGTTGGGAGGTGGCGCGGAGAGGGGGGGTGGGGGGAGGTCGGCGCAGCCTGCCCGCGGCGGCGTGCCTGGACGTGGCACGCGTCGAGGAGAAAGCGCGCCTCGTCTGTTGGAAGACTCGCAATCAGGCGGCCGACGAGCCCTCTCGGGGGCACCGTCACTGCAGCCCCGCAAAGGGGAGACCAGGTATGAGGGGGGGGGGGTCTGTGATGTAGACCGCATGCAGGATTTTGAAGGGTGTTGCTCGTGCAGGCTGTGCCCGGTTGAGCAGCGGTCCTCAGCAAGGTATGTAGTACTAGCTTTTTTTTTTTTTTTTGGTGGAGCTATGCATAACTCTCTGCGCAAACTCCGAGTGAAAGCATACGCGACCCCGGTTCATACGGAAGGTTGTGCAAGGCGGGGCAGCCCCGTCCTGGTGCTCGCCAGGGTACACGACTGTCCTAATACGGCACGGCGCATCAACGGCTGTCTAGTAGCACCACCACCACCACCAGCCGTCAATGGCTCGATCAGCGAAGTTGGTTGCCCTTGCATTCTCAGCCACGCGAAGTTTCTTGCCAGCCATGTTGTCTAATGTTGTCCGCCCGTCCCATGCTGTCCGCACACCGTGCTATCACCGTCCTCGCTCCACTCCACCGCCGCGCGCTTTTCCAGGCCATGCTCCTACCCTGCTCCGGGTGCCGCGGACCAAGGCCGTTTCCCCGATGGAGAACCCAGACTCAACCGACATCGAGCTTCCACAGGATTCGTGGGCAGCCGAGAGCTGGGCGGTCGAGAACCGGTGCGGCTTGGGGTGCCGTTGTCCAAGTTCCGCAAAGGACCGGACGCGAATCGGCGTAAAGATGGACCGCAGCAGCAAGGGGGGGTAGCTGCGGTAGCGGTGGCGGCGCCATCCAGCAATCGCGTACCCCCCGGGCCGGGGCAGGCGGCGGGGGTGGCGGCGGGCCGTGGTGCCGGTCCCGCCAACATCGCGGGGAACTTCGTGGCCCCTTTGTCTCCTGTGCAGATGTATGGGGGGGGGGAGGTGAGATGCGTAATGATTGCTTCGAGGACCTTGTTGGTTGTTGTCTGCCAGCCGTTTCTTGCTGTATTTTTGTGTGCGTGTTTAGGCCATCGGTTGGGTCTAGCTACTCGTTGTAGATGATGTCGAACGAAAGTTGTAGATCGTTTCTGACACATTTTGCAGGAACAATAACAATTGATGCGTGTGGCAATACATCCTATAGGTGACACGGCCAACACCTCGTTGTGGGTATCTGACGGGGACCATGCTCAGACCAACGTGAGGGTATCCCGATTGCGAGCGCGGGCAGCTACACAAGCAGCAAACCCGGTGACAGATACAGCTGTCATTCCCTTCATAAAACAGTGAATCCCAGTGCCTGCTTGTAGCATAACGATGTAGTACTCCCCCCTCGTTTATTTTTCAGCGCTCCAACAAGGCAGGGCCCAAGGCCGCCCCCAAATTCCACGGCCACCACCACCACCAGCACTCGGCGGATTCCGGACGACCTGCCCCGGGAGGAGTCGGCGCGCCCCACGCTGCCGCCGCCGCCGCCGCCGCCGCCGCCGCCGCCGGCCCGGGAGCGCCCATCGCAGCAGGGGGCGGGGGCGGGGGGGCGGGGGGGGCTGCTAACACGACGGCGCGAGGAGAATCCACGCCGAAGCTTACGGCCAGCGCCCTGCAGCACCTCCAGCCGACGATTCCTTCCCCTGCCCTGGCCGCGTTCGAGGCGAGGGATCTGACAGAGGGCTTACCTTCCGCCGCGAAGCAGAGCATGTACTGGGGTCCTGTGAAGGTAGGCATGTCTGCTTCCTTCTTTTTTTTTTATGCAACATTCCGTAGGGGTGGTGGTGAGTGACTGTGCGGGAAGCACAGTTGGTGCTTGGCGGTAGATAATTGTAGCCCCGTTCCTTTAATATATGTATATGTTGTTACCAATACATGTATGGGTGTTTTGCTGCGGGTGGGGTGTCATCTTCGGTGACCCTGTGGCGTGCTGTGAGAGTACCTTACATTTTGGGTTCCATGTTGAGCCGCAAAATATTGTCACCGGGAGTGGTACTCTCTGGCGGCGGTGGTATCTGTTGTGGGTGCGTTGCTTGTACTCCTATTTAATACGGTAAGCTATGCATACAAACGAAGACGTAACGTTTGGCGCGAGGGTAGACAGCTGCGCCACGCTGCAATCGATGGAAATTCTCGATTGAAATGATGGAGTTGGTGGCACCAGGCGCATCGCGTTGTTCGGTTTCTCGTTCCCCTCTGTGCGTCATCTCTCCGCGCCTGTCTGCTATAATAGATGCGTCACTTCGTCGGCCCGTCCTTCACGCTGCCCCCCCCCCCCCCCACCAA